CTTCCCAAATGGACTAATTGGTAGTATGATTGGCCTACATTACAACATAAACTAGAAGAAATAAGCAATCACATGTCTAATAACACATACTAACATTTAAAAATATTGGACCATAATCATGGAAGAAGGAGGAAGGAAAATTTTATGAAATCTCAGATTTTAAAAGAATTAATGATTTTTTAAAAATCCAATACAACCTATAACTTCTAAGTTTTTATCCTTCTGACGTATAGCTTTTAACTGGGGTGAGGAAGGACACCACTTTCCTGCTCACTCACTGAGGGGCCAGTCCATGGGTGTTCCTCACTGAGTGCACAGCTGATATCTGAAAGATGAGAAAGACTGCAGTGAGCGGGTGGATTGAGCAGATTTAACTAAATGAAAGTCATCTCACAGGAATAAAATTCCAAATTAATAGAGTTTAGAAACCTCCAGATTCTTGAAATCTTTGTTCAGTGATTTTCAGAATGGACTTTATAATTTGAAAAAATAGGCTAACTCGTAAGAGGACAAAGTTCACGTCTTCCATAGGTACTTTGAACGTCATCTGTCCTCTCATACATAGCAGGCAGCCAACTAGGAACAACTTAGAACAGCCAAGTTCCCCCATAGACAGTGAGGCCCAGGGTTACAACACACACTCTCCACACAGCTCTTTGTGTTCACATCTGTTCTTATCATTTCTCCAATTCCCAATGGCCATCTTGTGTCTTCCAAAACATCCGGTGCCTTTAAATTTTCACAGCTTTGACTTAATACTACTCACTGTAATTATCTTGGTTTTCACCTTAATCTAATATTTACAATTTCTTATGGTGTTTTGCTACTCTTTATCCTGTATCTTGTCACAACAAAAATTTTGCGTTTTGAATTTATGACAAAAGCGATGATGCTCATGTTTATGAATTAAGAGGTAGTTGATACACACAATTATTAATCATTATTTAAGGAAGAATTTCACTTTCTTCCCTAAAGAAAGAGATTAAATAGAGAGATACATGTGCATATGCAGGGTGCTTGTAAGTCAAATACTAGAGAAAGTGATAATTAAAGTACTTACAGCTTTGTAGTTCATACTACTTTCAGAGTGAGCATTTCAAGAAAGGGTGGGACAAGAAAGGCATAAGAAAGAAGATATGGAGAGTTTAAAAATGTGTAAAACAGTGAGATTTCAGTGCTACTGTGAAATGCCAGGTTAGAAAGTTACTTGCAAAATTCTGTAGATTCAGTTTTTCTGTATCTCTCACATTTAAAAAAAAATACACTTCCACCAAATGTATTCCTATTTTAGTAAAGGATTCATGTTTTCAATTCACAAAACCATACTACTGAAATTTTCTTCATCATTTTCACATGAAACAGTATTCTGAGCACTCCTTCTTCATGCCAGCCGTAAAAAGGTGCCACACAGCTGATATCCCAGCTCCAGCTGTGAAGGAAGAGGCCAGGCTGATGCAAGTGAGTCCTTAGGCCAGCTCCAGGGGAGCGGCTGAAGCGCTGCACTGGCTTTGTCATCCCCCAGAATCGACGAGCCTCTGCGATCAGTGGCTAACAGCCATTACACCGGCAGAGAGAAAGGGAGGAAGAGTAGTATGCAGCCAAAGAAAAGGAGCACTAAGTAGTTTGTAAACTGTACCCCAGAATCAAAGTTAAGTAAAGATTGTACTGGAACCAGAACTTGACCGTGCAGATCATGTTACTTTCAAGAATTCCTTGTGCCTGGGGTTGAATGTATTATGCCCTATGAAGTCTGAACTGAACTAGATATTCCAGTACATATGTAAGATGTGCCTGTTCATGGTTTCTGACTGCAAGTTACCTGGGCCTCCTGCTCTTGTGGTGTTTACATTGCCTGCCCCTGTCTGATCTGCGCCATCTCTCCTGCACTTTCAGCTCTCTGCTTTGGTTCTGCCTGTGCTTCTCACACGCGACTTCTTCACCCTGCCCTCAATGCTTTCCTCCTCCTCCATGTCACAACTGAAAGTCTCCCCGCGGTGCTGTCCTGTTCTGTATGGAGTCTCGGTTCTCACAATTGCAACTCTGCACTCTGTCCTGATGAAACAAACTCTCCACATTCAGCCCTGTCATTTATCTCAGCTGTACCATTTTATAGTTAATACCTGTCTCTCAAGAATCCCTCAGAAGGAGAAACTCTTAGCACTATTTTAAATTAATTGAGAGTATTTCATAGGAAACAACATTTACTGATATCGATTTGAACTCTCATTAGAAAAAAGTATTTATTTCCATGGTCATTTTCTTTGTTTAACTGCAACACAGTGTGGGCCAAATGTTTAACTATATATTTTTTAGAAATTCTATCATCTACACAAAAAATTTTACATGCACACCAGAATAGCAAATTCATGTGTTACTTCCTCCTCCCTGAGCCAAAGTCTCCTACAACTCACTTAGCTGTGTCTTGCCTATAATTTGCGGGGAATTGCTCCAAAATGGCTGCATAGCCAAAGGACCTTATTAACGTGGTGATTCACTACCTGCTCTCCTGGAGAGAACCCTTACTGCACCTGGGCCTGGAAGCACACTGCCTGCCAAAATTCCATTCTTTCCTCTCAAGCAAAAACAGGGTTATTTCATTAAAACACCAACAACTTCAATCATTCACACGTCAAGTAGCCCGGTGAGTAGTCTTTTGATGCTTCCGTGCATTTCTAGTGATGAATTTCCTTCCATGTGAGAATGTTTGGAAGTACCTTGCATGTCTGGAGCCACATCTAGGTGAAATGCTCCATCTTCTTGTCCACCATGAAACAGTTGAACAGCCTCAGCCAGCCACAGTGTGGTTTCTAAAGTAAAGGAGTGTGAGGGATTAAGTAAGGGAAGTGACAGGGGTCATCTTCTCTGCACTGTCTCAAAGTCCCCAAGGATGTGCCCCTTCATAAAGTCAGAGGGTAATCATTTTGAAGGAAAGAAAATCAGAGCAGAATAACTGCAAAAGAATATTTCTTCAAGAACCTCAGGACAATCTCACAGGACTTTGGGTCATGTTCTTTCACTGTTCTCCTCAGAGCAGAGGATCACTGGGAGAGAAGAAAAATAATCAAAACATATGATGATCATATGAGGATTCCTCCTCCACACCCCAAGAGAGTAGACTGAGGGAACCCCATCATCAGCACTGCCCCACAGACACTAGCTGTTAGAGCATCAAAAAAGAAGAGCTAATTGTATTATTGAATTTTTCTTACATTACATTTTGAAGAAATTCATCTTATGTTTCAGTTTTCTTTCTGTTCCCAAATGATTGTTTATGTTACCACATTTAAACTTCAGAAATAATTTGTCACACTTAGACTGAATTGCTGTTTTCAATATGTATCTCCATTCCTCTTGGAAAAGTCTAACATTAGCGAAAGAACACCTAAGCACCCTTTTAAAGTTCTCTGAAACAATGTATTACATGAAGATATATGATTCTAGAAGTACTAAGAGAAGCACTTGTATATTTATGTTTTTCCTAAGTACCTGTTGTCTCACGATGCTTTTATATAAAAATCTTATGTAACACAAGAAAAAAAGATTGTATTAACTCTGGAACATAGGAAAGAAACACCAAAATTTCAAGTTATTTTCGTTTTTACTTTGAGCACACTTCCTGAGGTAATTAATTTGTTCTAAAATTCATTGTTTTATGTCCCTTTCACCAAAATCTTTTATATTATGATGAATAACTTGTTACTTTTGCAGGAACGCTTTGGTTCAAGTCCTAAAAGAAAAAAAAATGTAAAAGTAGCTAAAATATAAAGACACATGATTCAAATTTCATTAGAAAATATTCTCAATGTTTAGGAGAAAGTTCAGCAGACCAGAGTCTACATTTATCCCAGATGTGCACCCCGTAGCTCTGGAAATGAGCTGACCTCCTCAGAGGCAGCACAGTGTTACTGTGGCTCTGGGATCTGAGGGTCTCCCAGCTCCCACAGGCTGATGGAGGGCACAGGGACCCTCTGATCTCTCTTCACTGTGCAGTGCTTTGCTGAGCACAGTCTCTCCCCATCCCCCAGCAGTCTTCACCATGGTCAACAACTGCCAGGACCCTCTTTACACACATTTTTCCCCAAGAACTCCCACTGCAGGGAGCTCAGAGGAAACCAGCTGCTTCTCATTGGGAAGGGACTTTTCCTACGTGGAATGAGAGACTTTGACGTTTTTTGTCAGTCATGACTCAACTGTCAGCACCTTTAAGCTCTAATCGCAAAGTTCAACCTTTCCAGGATCTCAGTGCTGTCACATTATGCAGAACAGATCCTGTTCAATGCATCAAAAATTAAATGCTGAGCTATCAGCAGAAGTGAAATACAAGGCAAGTGCCAGCAACACGTGTCAAGAAAAGCAAAAGTTCCTTAAGTGCAAGAATGGAACTGCAGCGGCAAACAGAAACACCAGAAACATCACCCAGGACTTGGAGGCAGATTTGTTTAATTTCAGGTGGTAACAACAAGGAATCAAGGGAGGGAGGGTTTATGGGGTCTACAAGGAAGAAGCAGAGCACTTGGCTGTCTTTGATTGGTTCTTACGATACGCATCATAGTGACCAGCTCTGTGTCACAGCAACCAGCCATTTCTAAGAAACAGGAGTAACAGGAACTCTAACAAGAACTGTTACCTAGGTAACTGACAGCAACTGAAGTTTGCTGGCTGGGAGGGTCAATTTAGGCTACAGCAGGAACCTCTGCATTGTGCCTTAGTCAAATCCACATCTATACTCAAGTGCCAACCTCCTGGATCTCAAGCTGTCTGCTTTCCAGGAACACTAATCCCCTGTGATCACTTTCATGTCAGAAAAAATGATACATATGTTGTGTGTGTAGCTTTAGATACGAATAGGTTTATGAGGTGCTGGAGAAGATGAATGACAACTTACAATTGGGGAAAGTTTAAAAGTTCCATTATTATCCGTTTCAATTTAATAATTAAAGAGGCAAGGATAGAGAAATATTAATAATGTCATTAAAAGCGACCTTCTTTCTGGTCTCTAGACCGATGTTGAAGTCCTAGACAAGGTGGACTTCTCTTTGTGGTTGGAGAAGGAATCCCCGCAGTCACCTGATGAGAAAACTCACCTGTTCACTGTTTGTAACACGCTCCACTGCTTTGTCATTGATGCACGAAAGACTGACTTTCTTCTCTTGTTCCTGCAGTGCCAAGCTGCTGAGGAAGACACCTGGTAGTTCCATATGCATTGGTTTTGTTTCTGAAAACTTTTCTAATGATGCATCATTTGGAATGGTTATTTTGTATTTATATAGTCTTAAGGCATGATTGTCTTTGAAGGATGGATGTCTCTTCCTGTTTTTAAAAATTTTTTCTTTATTTTTGTTTTTGTTTTTCTTCCAGAACCAGGAATAAAACTCAGGACCTTGCACTTGCTAGGCAGGTGCTCTGCCACTGAGCTAAATCCCCAGCCCCAAGATGTCTCCTCTTAGAAAATAAAAAAAAAAAAATAGTAATTTTATTGGCATTGTCATAATATTCAAAGGCAACTAGTGTGTTTCTTTGCTCCATTTAACAGAAAACCAAAAACATCATATGGATAAAGGATAGTTAATGCTTAAATTTTTTGACCAATTTTGCATGCTTATATCTGATAGTCTGAACAGTTAATTGAACAATATGCAACATAACAACCACTGAAGAATTCCTACTATGTTGTTTAGTTACACTCAGTATCATTTCTAGTGTTTATTATTATTATTTTTTATTCCCTCTAATGATTTGATCAATGTTGCATTCTTACATTTGGAAATCTCAGCAATTTAATTGAAGATAACAGTATGTAACATAACAGCCACTGTTAATTCCTATCATTTTGTTTTGAAACCCTGCATCATTTGTATTGTTTTCATGCTGTTATGATTTTGTCTGTGTTGTTATTTTGTTATTTTTTTTTATTCTCTTTAAAATAAAAATGCTATGTTATAATAACTATAGTCATTGTGTGAAGAAACATGAATTTTCAGAAATTTTCAGGGATCAAGTCACATTCTATGACCCGACATTTCCAATGTTCTGACAGACTATACAAGTTCTCCCATAACTGCCATGTACCTAGATAGTACGAGTTGTTGTACCATCTACACACTGCTGGGGCACAAACACTGACTGGCTTTAGATTCCCCTAACTGCTTTCTTCAACCGCGTCTCCTTGCACACCCGTCTCCTTAGCATCACCTTGAGCCTTTCTAAATGTTCTCTTCACTCTGCTTCTAAAAATGTAGATAAACTTTTGTCATCTGAATGTATGACCTCCAAAGTAGCAGCTCTTCACTGTAAAAGTCACCATGACTGTTCTCTCCCTTTCCATGTATACATATATGACAGACTGTACTCCAAAATCAGGTTACATTAGAAATTCAGGTTACAACACAGAAATACTTGTGCCAGTTTAAAAATTAAAATCTGTGTATACATTCCTGATCCTTCTATGGCTATTCAAGATATTAGATGACAGGTTAAGGCCATATAAGATTCTAAAATTCCTTAAACCTGTGTCTTCCTATTGAAATATTTGTTTTATTCAAAATAGCCTTGATAATTTCATTCTTTAGATAATACTTTTCTGCTGGGTGTTTAAGACCAAGTTAAAATCAGATCTTTATACATTGAAGTTGACCTCTTGCTACCTCTCAGGGTCAGTTAAGTCTCCTCAGCACTTACCTCAGAGCCATATATGGACCCTCTCATTTCTTTTCTCAGTGTCATCATCAGAATGAGTCATGGTCTTTGCTAGGCCATTTTTCATGAAAACATGTGAGACTTTTCTTTCCTGGTGACACTGTAGGCGCACTACCCATTGCTGATTTCCATTGTTTGGGGTCCATCAGTCTCCCTCGCGAGGAGGATGAGTGGCTCACCAGAGTATGAGGATGTCACATCAGAGGTTCTCTCATATGCTGGGTCTTTGTTGAGTGTGGTGGGCCAGGGCAAAATATTGGCTGCCCTCTTAGCCTGGTTATTTGTCTAGTTTTGGTTTGTAAACTTTAGTTGCTGAACACCCAGAAGAGAAGAGAAGATTAGTTATACTAGCAATGTAGTGTGAGCAGTGAGCTCAATTATTATAAATTTTATTTCAGTATTAAGCATTTTGAAATGCAAAGTATAACCATAAGACTGTTCTTCCTTACTAACCATTGTTGCCTACTTGAATTGCTGTAGAGTGTTAATAGATAACACTTATAATTTACAAAGAAAACTTGAGAGTAAAAGCCATAGATAATATTTTAGTGTGACAATCATGATGACTTTTTTTGGTAACACACTTAAATCCTCATCAACACACTTAAATCCTCATTACATTTAGTTTAGGTAGATTTTTGCTTTTTATTCAGTCATCTCTACTTAGTACATAGGAAGTTCTCATCTAAATTGTTTTCCTTTCATGGAATGTCAAAGAAGAAATTTGTGACATTGTCTGGAATGTTTAATACCGAAGCATCTTTCAGTGTATAATACATGCATAACATAAACATCACAGAAGCGTGTCACCTTTTGTACTAATTTTTAACAGGTGGTACCATGTTGGTCTGACATATACCTCTTACTGTAAGTAAGTGGAGCACAAGACAAAGGCAGATGTGTGAATCTGAAAGAAGAGGCTTGTCACTGTACACAGTCCTGGGCTTTTTTATTTTAGAAGACCTGTACATCTGGAAGGCATGAATATGTTTAACATACCTTGAGGTTAGCAATGATGACTTGTCATAGTCATATGAAAACCTTACTGTTTATATTTAGATTTCTACCAAGAAAAGAGTATCTTTTAATCAGAAAACCTTATTGTTTTGTTTCTAGAAAACTTAACTTTTTGACAATGACCAAGGTAAACATATCACAATAATATAACTTTTAATAACAATTATTTGGGTGTCTACCATAAGGCTATGAAAATCAATGGAGCATCCATTCACAAACAAAGTGACTACTGGACATGTCTACAAAACTTGACCACTCTGTGTCTACAATAAATTTGGGAAGCCCAGTCTATCTTTTTTTTTTTTTTTTTTTTTTTTTTTTTTTTTTAAAGAAAGTTGTTCCCCTGAACCTCAGGAATATCTGAGATTCCTTTTCAGAAAGCACAACTGCAGTTCTCCTTTGAATACAGAAAAGTGGGGACACTAATGAACCTTAAGCCAGCACAGCTTAAACGGAAAGCTATGTGGATACTCTATGCCATAATGTGTGCAGAAATGCTAGGGCTACAAACCTTACACTCTGGATAATTTATCTAATATCCGAATTTGTAGCAGAAAATTCCTTCCCCTTGTCAATCATGTAACCCCCAGGTTACTTTAGTTCCTTTTACCCTTCCTGTTGCTTCTGTTTCCCAGAAATAGCTGGTCACAATAATGCATGGCTGGTCACTATGATGTGTACTGCACAAACCAATCCCCAACGGACAAGCCACTTTGCCCCTGTACTACCGCTTACTGACCTATAAAGCCTTTTTCCCCGAGCCTTCAGGGCCTGATAATTGGGAATGCATCACCACCAGGGCTTATAAATGTTAAATAAATCTGCTTCCAAATCCTGGGTGACCTATTGGTGTGTCTGTTTGCCATTACAAGTACACCATGGAAATGTCACATATGCAATTGGAATAACTGTATTTTTTATTCAAAAGTAACTCTTTTCTAGTCATTAAAATTTCCTTGAAAACATCATTCTAAATGTCTGACATTCCATCTAAAACAGGGTATGAAGCCAGGTATGCTGTTGCAGGCCTATAATCCTAGCACTCTGGAAGCAGAGGCAGCAGGATTACACAGTGAGTTTGGGATCAGCCTGGACTACACAGCTCAAAACATTTTTTTAAAAAACACTTTTGAAATTTTCTTTCATGCAGAATATAGAGATAGAACAATGAGTAAAGATAAAGATAAAAAGTGTGTATTTCACCAACTAAGGACACACAGTAGAGATCTGAAGGCCTGGATCCCACAACGATATCCTGAGTGAGTCCAGCTGAAGATCTCTAGTCCTTGGCAATGCCTCATGAAAGTCTGTATCAAAGATGTGCACTGGGAAAGCGCAAAGATCAGTAGTGGAAGGTAGAAAATCTGCATCAGTGCCATGAAGCTTCTTTTCCAGCAGGCTGAGGCATCTGCAGTGGAGACAACAAGCAAAGCTCAAGGTAAGGACCAGAACTGCCCCGGAAAGAACCACAGACATCTTCAGCAACAGTTAGGTCCTGAGCTCCTCAGATGAATGAGAACAGCCAAGTTCAAATCAGAAAAAAAGCATGACATGCTTCTCCTGCAGAACCAACAGCACTCAATGTCCTCCTCGGGAGGCAGGAAGTGATGCTCAAAGAATCAACCAGAGCTCCCCCAAATTGACTTCAGCTATTCTCAGTGACAACAAAGTTCCAAGCTCATCTCACAATGAGAACAGATTTTCATTTCTGGAAAATCGGAGGAACATTGTTCTGCAGGAGCATCAAGAGCCAACACCTTCCCCTCCAGGTCTCTTTTCTTCTTAAGCTGTTGGTAACAGTCCTCACATGGGCCCTCCACACTCAGCACCATGCTTATTCAGTTCAGCTGGGTGTTACAAGCAGGACAAGAGCTGCCAGTCCAGCACAACATTTTATGTGGAAATGCACCCCAAAGTAACTGAGAAACTTGTATATTTTTATAAATTGATGAAAAGGTGAATAGTAAAGTGGAATGAAGACTGCATGATCATGTCTGATGAATGGGTAATAAACACGGGGAGAAACAGCAAGCCCTGTGTGTGCATAATCCTGTTGATGTGTCCAGAGAATGGACACTGCTGCCTTCTGTTCTCTGGAAAGCACCTCAGTAATGAGATTCTTATCATGCCCATTGGGGTAGAAAGGCAAAACATGTAACTTCCACAGGCAGAGCCCACAGGAATGAGAACCTTATCCCTCTTCAAGGGAGAAGGGTGCAAGAAATGACTTTCCTAGGATCTTTGTTGCCTCACATATCAAGGAACCATGCACACGGTGGGGAGGGGGAGCATGTGGACAACCACATCAGCAATAAAAAATGTGACATAATAAAATAAAGCAAATCTATGTAAATCAAGTGGTTCTCTTCCTTATTTGTTGCAGTATCACTCAGTCCTGGATTTCATAATCCCTTTTTATAGGAGTGAGAGGAGCATGCTTCTCATTGTGCAAATTACTCTGTACACAAAAATTATCACA